TAGTAAGACTTACGTCCTACCAACTAATTAAGTTTTATTTAACTTAATAATTAACTACTACTTTACCTTACTTTACTACTAGTACTAATAAAGAACTATATATATATATATATATATATATATATATATATAGTTGACTGTGCAATTAAAAAAAAAATCAGTCTGGGAAACACTTGTTTAATAAAAAGGTATCACCTTCATGGACCCCCAGGGGTTCAGGAACCACTGGTCTAACATTTTGCTTTTTAAGAGACATGAGTGGGTTTTATCATTGATGGTGTGGAAATTGTATAAGATCCATGTTAAATATTTGAAAACATTATTAGGTATCTCTTATATGTCCTTAAGGAACAAAAAGTCTGTACATCATGAGATAAGTAAGGTTTTATGTAATTAATATATATATCCTTTTTAGATTACTGTAATTGTCTATATTATTTAGTTTAAATTTTATTTGTACATGTTCTTGTCATTACAGTTGAAACAAAAGAAGAGGCAAAGAAAGAGGAATCGGAAAGTTCTGACGAAGACATGGGATTCGGGCTTTTTGATTAAAATTCCCTGTTTATTGCTTGTTATTTAGAATAATTAGTTTTAATAGTTTTAGATGAGGTTCATAAAGTACAAGTTTATATCCAAAGATGTTAGAGAATCTAGTCAAGTTTTCTTGTTTATTTATTAACCTCAATAAATATATCTCAAAACCTAATTGTTTATAATTTTAAATGATTTATTTGAAATAAATGTAAATCAGCTTTTCTTCACAATGTTGAACGATTTTTTTTTTTTAAAGTAATATCTAAGTATTCAAAAATAATGAATGTTAATCACAGAATTTAGTGTTAGAAGAAACTACTGAATTTCAAAATGTTGTAATTATTGTAGTTCTGAGTTTTGAAAATGTATTTCAAATGTATGACTAGTCGACTAACTTCTGAAGATAATTGGTTAAGTAAGAAACGTGGTCTAACTACGGGAGTTGCTAAAATGAAAGCAGTTATTCCATTGTTAAAACTGAAGACACCAAAACCAGATACTATTTGCCTTAGTTTCTAGTTAAACATTCACACACAAAATGTGTTTAATTACCTGAGTTACTGCATAATGTTTAATATATCTTTCAGGAACTATAATGGACTTTAATACCAAAACCAGATACGGTGTTAAAGTCCATTATAGTTCCTGAAAGATATATTAAACATTATGCAGTAACTCAGGTAATTAAACACATTTTGTGTGTGAATATTTAACTAGAAACTAAGGCAAATATTGTGTGTGTATCTTGTTCCAATTGTGCTTATTACCACAAAATCCAAGTCCACCCTAACTTATCTGCCTTAGTGTTTTAAGATTACTTTTAATTTATTTAATAAAACAAATTCTTCAGTCGTAACATAAATTTTAAAAAACTATTGTTTTATAATGGAGATTGTTTGTCTTAAGTCGATTTCATCAAATATCGTTAACATATGTTTAGTCCCAAAAATTCTTTTATTTCTCAGTTGTCAAGCCCACTTCATTAGATGATGTAAAATTATATCGGAAATATAACGTGCTTCTCCAATTTATAACAACTTCAGATATAACACATGTTTGGTGTACTGTTTGAAAAACAAAATTTAAACTTGCATCAAACATAACCCTCGTTTGAATGGACCAAGTTGTATATAATGTCTCATACATGGTGCGATAAGGCATTTACTAATTTATTCATCATTGTAAGTATTATCAACTAATAAATTATTCTCACGTCACTAAAAAAGAAAAGAGAGATGGCAATCTGCGGGTCGCGGGCTCGAATCCCGTCACACCAAACATGCTCGCCCCTTTCAGCCGTGGGGGCATAATAATGATACAGTCAATCCAACTATTCGTTGGTA